GTGTATATCAATCACTCATCGACAATCAGCGATCTTTGGACCTGGAATAAAGCTTTTTACACTTTTTTGAATTTTGAAAATGGTGCATCAAAAGTTCACAAAATAATCACAATTTCTAGTGCGAATTGGTCACTTTTAATGTTAACTCAATCGCTATTTGAAAATGCCTCAATTAATCTTTTTGTTGACTACGGTAATTGGACTATTCAAGAGTACCGAAATATCGATACTGATTTGATTATTGAATTTAGTTAAATGTATATGTTTAGTATTTGTTTGAGTGAATATAAATGTTATTTTTGAAATAGAAGAATAAACACGGTATATAATATACGTTCGGTCCCGCTTCCGTGTGAAGCAATCTTTCTGCCTTGTGAACGCAGAATGTTTGAGAATAAGCTTCTACTGAGCAAGATGCACGCCACCTTGCTGTAGCCACACAATTCTTTTTGAATCATTGAGTAAAGTTGGAGGACTTTGAAACGTGGAATTTTGGCTTGTCCTGGATCTGAGTTCAAAATATAATCTCACCTTAGGTATGCGTGGCTTGAACACCATCCTGAACCACGGACGGCCTTTTATCGAAAAATTTGATAGCCACGTGATTTTATTATGGCGTGGTCTTCGGATGAGCATGAAAGACGACTGCCTGTCGTGGCATCCAGAAGATATCTCTGTTGGACCTTTATATGATCTGGTGACTTCTGTGTTAGAACCGGTTGAATTAAAAATAACTATGGGCTAAAAATAGAAGGAACAGGTCCTAGTGTTATCAAGGATGACTCGTCCTAGTCCCAACTAAGAGATACTGCCGTGTGAGACACCGCCGTGCTGAGCACTAAAGTCGAAGGGTAAGTAGAGCGGCGATTATTCATTCGCGATTAGAGAGATGGGGATAGTCCCAGGGGATCGATATGTTTTCCTTCACTACCTCCGTTCGAACTAAAAATATTCCCTAGAGAATGAGCACAAAAAATGCAAACACCTACATCACCGAAACAGTACGGTTGGTCACGGAGGAGAGGCTAAGCTCGTGTCATGTCATCAATAACTCTGTATAGAGTGGGATTGCTATCATCAAAAACCATTTCTATCCTTTATTTGAACGATCATGGAAGATCCACCATCGTGTTGTATCCGGATCGCGGATTCATCATGTAATGACTTGATTTCTGAAACATATTTTCGTCAATGGCACTTAATAAGAAACCCGTGACGTCATTAAAGCTTTCTTCCGCGCAAAATACGTAGCAGTTTATTTGGAAGAATCGTTATGACATTTTGTGGAGAAAAGTGAACGGCATGCGGCGAACAGCATGTTTATAATAAAAATAATATAGCCGAGATTTTGGCGCAGACGCCAATTTCCAAAAAAAGTGCTGCATCACCGCATGGCCTATTTCATTTTGTTGAGTACTTTTGACCAGGTTGATGAATAGTAACAGCTGCTTGTAAGAGTCAGCAATTCATCTCTCTCTCTTCGGCGATAAATCCGATTTGGATGCTTTGAAAGTGGCTAGTGATGCTGAAAATCCTGTCAAACGCGCAAAATGTTGTGTCACATCGTGGCTATGCGCAACAATGTGACGATATATCTGTTAAAGTCTTGCAAAGCACGGACATGGAGACACTTGCTGGCAGTGCTCGACCTTTACGCATTAATAAGCTATCCGCCAATCACAAAAATATCTTTTTGGCGCGGAATTAGATCCCCTATTGGGGATGCGTGTTCGGGTAGCACGGCCTGCAGGTAGATCTCGCGAAGAAAAAGACCATTGTAAATTGTCCATTGCCTCTGTGTGAAAGGAAGATTAGAAAGTAGCTTGGTGTGGCTAACAACCTGTACAACTGCAGCATAAAATATGCTAATATGACATGGTCCCTGTAACGGGGTTACACATACCGTGGTAACAGGGATGCGTGTCACACCAGATGGGCATGGTGTGAGCACACCCAAACAAGAATACGGTACGGGGCTGCATGGCAAGTAGTTATACATGTATTTAGATTTTACGTTACATATTTAGGCAAATCTATGCATTTAAATTAGGCGGCTTTGCCGCAGATAAAAAAACGTCAATTTTGGATTTAAACGGAAAAGCTAATTAGCTTTGGGTTAAGGCAATAGTTACTCGTGGAGTTAGCAGAATACGATCCGCTTAACTCGTACTTGTTCCAAGTATTGAACGAAAGATCGGTGAGCCAACTTGCGCTTCCTCAAAGGGCAAAGCTACGGCAGCCCCGCTGCATTTGGTAGCACTTGTAGTCAATTTACACCTGAGTCGTTTAGACGGATTCTCTGAGGGGATGGTACAACTTTCCTCTTTGCCCCAGGGCATGAATGACGGGCTTAAAAAGCTGATGTCCTTGTCTGACCCTGAGAGCGTGCAACACCTTGCCGCGCAACGCCCCGAGGCAATCGATGCGGTCTAGAGGCGTTTTCAAATTACGATTACGCGCTGCTAGAGCACCTGCAGCAGAAGATGTCGGCATCATTTGCGTGCATGACGCCACCGTCAGTGACGGAAGATTTCCCCCGCCCTAAGCCGCTCATGGTGAGCGTTAAGGTCTTCGAGGGAAGGAATGGAGAGACTTTCCTGCTCTGGGTTTGAGAGGTCGAGATGGCCATCGCATCCGCCATGCTCCAGATCGAGCAACAGCGCAGGGCGCTAGCCATATCAAAGCTCGGTAGTCGAGCACGGGAATGGGCTAGACGTGCGGCACTTCGGTCGAAGCTGCATTTAACTCCTGGGCGGAGTTAAAATTGCAGCCCTCACGAGTGTTCTCGCTGC